ATCAGCCTTCTCGTGATAACACAGGCCAGGTCCATGGGCTCGTGTCCACTCCTGAAAGACCCCTAGGGAGAGGACCTCATGCCTGCCTTGTTCATTTTCTTGTCGCATTTACTCAGCCTTGTGCTTGGGAAATGCAGGCCAGACCAAGGCTGAGTCCATGGCCACCTCGAGACACAGGGCGCACTCGACTGGGAACCTACGGGCTCATCTTGCGTCGTGTTTGCCAACATTGTGTTTGCCTCGATAGATATCACTTTAAGACAGCATCTCACAGAACTCTTAGATGAGGTCAGTCGTCTTCAAAAGTTGGAAACAGCCTCGATTGCTTCGCTGTTTTGGCATTGGGGGCTAAGGGTCGGCCCGTGGCCCGAATGTAAGTATTATAGTCGCAAAGCACTGCTGTCTAAGGGCAGTAACACTGGTGGATTGGGGACTCACTAATCCGTGGCCGGTCTAGTAGACCTATTATCAAGATCTGCTGGCCCTGATTTTGGGTTCTGGGCGGCGAGATATTGATTTGTGTCCTCCCTAGGCGCAGAGCACTATCCCTCACATAAGTCCCCGTACTTCATTGATTATACCAGGCAATCTGCATTCTTCCCAGCCTTCAATGCGGTGGCTGATATGGCAGACAGCCATTGAGAGCCAATGAGGGTTGACGCTTGCATGACCATTCGCACTTCGTAAAGGAAAATGTCGCCTGTCCAATGATCATCATGGCATACACCAGCTAGTCGCGTGATAAGGAGGCGGCTGAAATCAGGGTCATGGACAACTGCAAAGAGACGAGGATGAGGCTCCTGACGATGCTGCCACGTGCAACCTAGCTGGCGAGCCAGTTTCCCCTCATTTTATAAGGGCGCTTGCGACCGTCCAAGTCGTCGATTGAGCCTTGCCACTCTGGCCACTCGAAGGTCCAGCCCAACAAGTTTCAGTGTCTTCACCGACCGACGCCAGACAATGGCTGATGCTGAACCCCGATGGCGCTGGAATGACATTCCAGACTACGAAAACCTGACCAAAGAAATCCTCGAAAAAAGGCTGCGACAGAAGTTTGGGAATTGGAAGTTTTATGTCGAGGTGACTTGCAAGTCTCGAGGGCACAGACACGGCGTTTCAGCTGACGAGATCAGCGCAGAGCACAGACATGGCGATTCTGGGTGCCTCGTAACCTCTCTGTCGTGAGTCGATACCCATATCCAGCCCCAGGCGCGTCCATAACCGAATGGTAGGAAGAGAAAAGATTGTTGCAAAATCCACATGCTTGACAGAGCGTCCTTTGCTCCGGCTTGTCGTAACTCGAACCAGCGACACAGAAACCAGGATGAGAAGGCGCCGAGAAATGACGGCGAGAATATTGCCTCCCCCTTCCCTCCCCAGCTCCCCTCCACACTCCCCATGTTTCCTTGATTTCCTTGCTCCCTGAGAGCAACAAGGCAGACTTGGGCTGTTGGTGGGGGCTGGTGGGCTGGTGGGCTAGTAGGCGCAGACTCCACAACCGCCAAGGGGCTTAGAGGTCGAGGGTCACGAACACGACCGGTCAGGAAGAGATCTGTCTGCTCCAAGAGGCCTCGATGGCGATATGGGGGGCTGTGTGAGAGGATATATATTCTTATACTACCTCTGGAAACCGCTGTATTTTCCCTCTTACACCGGTCTCTTGACCAATTGGAATACCCCCATACTAAAGCAAAACTATGTCGCTCGTTGATTTCCACGCATCTTGCCGCCGGGCCCAGGATTACCCCGCCAACCTGATAGATGCTGGCCCCTTTTACCCATCTGTCCAACAAGAATACAGACAAACGTTGGCTAGAAGAGCCCCCAAGCTGTTCTGCCCAGAGAATAGAGCTGCTGTTGAGCTCTTCTACTACGAAGACTTGTGCGGGACCTTCGAAAGCAAGACGTCACGTTCTGTCGACCTGCTTAGACAACAACTCCCTGGCTCTACCGGCCATGTACAGAAAGACAAACAATGTCTGTTTGTCTTCGTTGGCGCTCGCAACTCCCGTGATGTACTCTACATCAGTCAAGACATGATGACATGGATCCTTTCGTTCTTTCAAGTGCTTCCCATTTTCCTGGAGTTTTTATTCGCATTTGGCGAACAGCTGTACGCTGTGGACTCGCAGTTCAGCGGCTTCAGAGAGGACAGGCGGCTCGAGCTAGGCCTACAACGAAACCCCATCCCAGAGCTCGACCGTTCTGGGCAAGACTTTCAGATCTGCTACAATCTGAAATCGTTCGAGCGAAAAGACGAACTGCAGTGGCCCTGGTCGAATCGACAGGTTGTGATCTTCCATTCATTTGACGTCCAGAACGGACATGCATCATGGATCGTTGTCAAGGCAAATGACATTATACGCGACCGCCTCAAAGAAGTGTCGGCAACCCTGCTGGCCAAAGCCCCTGACACGTATTCCAGCATCGCAAAGAAATTCACCAACTCCCTTGCTTGCCACTCGGTGATTGTCGAATGGTGTGGAGAAAACTGGAGGTGGTGTATCAACGACATCGAAGAACAACTGCACACACTCAAACGTCGTGCTTTGGTGGACAAGGTCGCGCCTGTAGCCGCTTTCGCAGGCCCTACAGAAACGATCCCAGCAGGCAATCAGGGTAATACTTTGGCTCCAAGGCGTACCTGGACACTGCACGCCGTTCGCACCCGTACTAATACTACCAACTCCCAAATGGCGCCGGATACAAACTCTCCACCGCCTCTGCAGCCTCTGCCGCCTAGCGTTGCCATCAGTATGCCAGATGAGCCGCAGGATCCTCCGAATCTTCCTCCCGAGTACGACCCCAAAAATCAGGACTCGAAAGGGGACGAAGACCAGAACGTGTATCGGATCGAGGAACTTCAAGAGGCGCAGGCTCTGGAAAATATCGTCAACGATGCTGGCTTGGTGCTCAAAAGCGATATTGCCGTCCTCTCTCGGATTGAAGATTTCTACCACCGCCTGGCGACATCTCCAGATTTGGAACATCTGGACCCTACCCTCCGCAAAAGCATGCAGGCATCTGTGGCTCAATTCTCGCAGCGTGTCCAGTCTATGCGGAATGACCTAGGAATGCACCTCAACAGAATCGAAACCATTTCGAAGCTGATTGCCGAGTGCAAAAATCTCCTATATGGGATCGTCGAATACCAAAGCATGCAGGCCAACAAAGCCTTTGCCTTGGAGGCACGCGCTTCGGCGAAACGGATGGAGGAGTTGACAGAACAAATGCAGCATCTGACGCTCAAAACAACACTCGAAACTGTATTGATGAGGATCATTACTGTAGTAACAGTGTTTTTTCTGCCCGCAACGTTTGTTTCGACTCTCATGTCAACTGACATCGTCCGCTTCAGTCCCCAAGACTCCAAGGTCACATCGGGCAGCACTTCTCTGGGAGCAGTCAAGCTCTTTCTCTGCCTGACTCTCTCATTGATGGCCGCAACATTCGGTTCTGGGTTTGCGCTTTACTGGGGAGCACTCCGCTACGGCGGATAACCGTTTCCGCAATCAGCCTCTGCACGACAACAGGGGTAACCATCAAGCCCCCATGGTATTGTGCTTCTCAGGTTGCTGCATGTCTCCATCGCAACTCAGTTTCTGATATTTGGTCGTTTGGCTGTGTATTTCTGGAAATCTGGACCGTCTTGAAAGGGCAGGCTCTTGATGCCCCTTTTGGATATCTCGGACAGCAAGGCTCGAAAGCCACGTGTTAATACCAGAATCGCGAAGCAGCTCTTGAGTGGGGCGCAAATCTGGAACAAATAACGGATCTTACTGACGAGAGTCCTCTTGTTTCGTGGCACGACACCATCGTCCTTATCACTGACCTCTATTTGAGAGTATCTTACCTTTGCATGATTATGATCCTTTCTGGTGGAAATGTGAGCGAATTACCGTTGTGCACTTATTGTTGGGCTTGATGTGTAGGCCTTTGGATGGTTTTTCACGACTGTATGACATGACAACCTCTATGGGACGCGTCAACATGTTTGGGGACGGCGACATCGCTGGTGACAACAAGGCAGATAGCGAGCGATGTTCAGGTTGTTATACTGGGATGGATAGGTAATGTTGGACCCATGCTATTTTCGTTGTTCTGATACATGGTGTTGTCAATTTGCAACAGCGCTTCTTGTGACTTTCAAGCGCAGGACTGAGATGTAACAGAGATAGTCTTGCCGTTGAATTCCGTCATTATCCTTGTATCTTGGCCTTTTAAGTTCAAGTGGGCTCGGCTAAATCGGGGCATGCAGGGGGGGGAGGCCCCCGAGCCTGCTCAGCCCGGGTAATCCCGGGGGCTGTTGGCTTAGTGGTAGGAGGCCGGTGGGCGGCTTCTTACGACTTAGTCCCCGGTTTGCAGCCCTAAGCAAGTAACTTAGCTGTTGTGGGTTGCCTTTCATGACTTCGATCCTCTAAAGCATCAATGAGAAAGGACAGCTCAGCCTTCACAGGAACTACGCCCCCAGCAGTGTCGTCGCGAAGCCGAGCTTCATTCACCGCCAAGGTCCAAATAGACGACATTGACTTCAATGAGGCTGAAAGGTGCAAAAGGAGAGAATTCGCCTTCACCATCAGCCATGTTCGAATTTCTGAGAAATACGATCCTTGGTGAGCCGCAGTACTGACTGTGCTACAGGAAAGGCGACCAGGCAGACAGAGCCATTACTACCTACTGGTATGTAGCACTGCCCCGCCCAATCAGTCAGTCCCAAGGGAAAGCTTGATTGAGGGGCGGTGGGCTCAGTTGGCTGCGGTATGAGGCTGGTCACCAGTTCAGTAGCTCTTAACCGAGTCTGGCCCAGTCACCATCGCGCTGCATGCGCAGTTTAAGCCCATGAGGCTGGCGCTGAACGTTGATGATGTCTCCTTCACTCTCCTTCTCGAACATCTGTCTGGACCGTCGAAAGATCGGCTCTATCCAGCACGCCGACGTCCCAGAACCACCTTCTATGTTTTCTTGTCGCTACACGGCAGCCAAACAATCCATCCGCTGCGATGACAGCGGAACAAGGCTCTCCCCAGCCTGACCTGTTCACCGACCCCGAGATCCAGTCCTTTCTGACATGGAAAGAAGAGAACAGTTGCCAGGGTATAACTTTCAACGACGGATCCTCCTATACGACATGTCAATTCGTTCCAGATCGAGCAATCACCGAGTATTTCGACTGCAGCCGGGATAGTAGTTACTCAAAGGTCAAGAAACTTGTCGCAGCGGCGACCATACACGCTTCCAAGCCTCCTCTGGACGTGCGTGCCGTTGCGAAACACTGTCCCAAAGTCTTCACTATCCTGGTAACCATCGGCCACTCGCAGTATATCGACTCCTTTGTCAGGGAATCGACGCTGCGCGACAGCAAATTACCCTTTCTCTCCGACAAGCGAGACTTTTTCCCTAAACTCGGCGGCGGCGCAACGTTTTTTGACGAGTTCTACAAGACCCAGTGGCAATTCTGTGTGGAGGCTTTGAGCTACAGTCTCGGACCTGTAAGATTTGAAAACGACAGAATCCTCCCAATCACCTCGATGCAGAAGGTGGATAAGAACGATGGTTCAAGCGCCTCTGTCCACAAGTTCACAATCCATGAAGAATACGACGAATTGTGCAAAAGTTCAGATCCCCAAGGCGTGAGCATACCCCCATGCTTATATCAATAATGTCATCTAACTTGATTGAACTAGGACCCGCATGAATACGTTGTGAAGTCTTACTACCCGCTTGGGGCAGACGATTACTATTCTGCCGAAGTCGAGGCGTTTCGCAAACTGAACGAGTCATCAGCACCAATGCCAAACCTGATAGGATTCTATGGTGCTTTCACACAGAATCAAAGTCGTCACATCATTCTTGAATATGCCAACGTCGGTACTTTGGAGGAGTATTGGAAAAAAGTTCAGCCCCCAAAGCTGGGACAGGACATAGTGACTTTGTGGGACAATTTCTTTAAGCTTAATAAGGCCCTCGTGCAGATACATGAGAACATGGGCACTGACCGCGCGGGACGACTGCAAATATTCCAGGGGTGAGTTTCCAATCCTTGTGGGCGATTTTGAGACACCCAAGGACTTGCTCAGTACTGACACTCTCTTCTAAAAGCTGCCATGAAGACATCAAGCCGTCTAATATCTTAGTCTCTGGTGATGTCGACAAGAAGCCGTACGATGTTCGGTTCATGCTCGCTGACTTGGGTTTGAGCCACTTTTCGGCTACTGTTGAGAGCGATCAGAGTGTCACCAGGGAGAGCAGAGGCGGCTCACAAGCTTACGGTGAGTCCTTTTACAGCAAAGTTTGCGTTATTCGTTACTGATAGTCTAGGCGCCCCGGAGCTGAACCGAGCGAGAAGCTCTAGCCATCACCCCCACATATCCAAGGCCCCTCAGAGTGGTGACACGTGGTCACTCGCCTGTGTCTACAGCGAGTTCCATGCGTGGACGGTGGATGGATTGGATGGCCGATATGGAGTGCGCAAATATCGTCAGGAGAGAATGGGTGACGTGGGTGTTGACAAGACCATGGGCGCTTGTTTCCATGATAAAACAGGACATCTTCTACGCAAGGTGAGAACCTGGCACGCTGACTCCCAAAGGGTATGCGCGAGGGAGGACTCTATAACGCCTATCCTGTGGGACAAACTGCTCAAATACATGTTTGAGCCGTCACCGTCGTCTCGCCTCCGAGCGCATCAAGTTCTCCGCTACTCCGAGGACGTCATCGAAGAAGCTCGAAATAAATTGACACCGTCATCGGCATCCGACGAGCCCGAGACCGCACCATACCAGCAGAATGGTTCGAGGCCAATGACGCCGCCACAACTTCCTCCCGAACTCCAGTACCAGCAGTTGCATGGCCAAAGTCATGTCGGATATCCTTGGACCCCTCCTGATGATCATCGAATCGAGCTTCCTCATAATTGGGATTGCGATCACAGCCCCAGACTAGCGCAGAGTCCTAGCAGTCGTGATGCTGACAGCTCATCTCTGAACAGAAACGGTAACCGAGAATCATCCTCGTCAATATGTGGATTTGGTCGAGATTCTTTCACCCACGGAAGCGCCAGCATTTCCATTCAGCCGGAGCCTCAAGACAAAGGTCCTGATCATGTGAAGATGCCACTTCACGACAGGGCTCAGACAGAACTGTTGGCATCAAGAAGTGCCGACGTCGCCCACACCTCCTCAAACCCTCATTCTACACTCATGCGAAGCCCCACCGCCCCCCTGGATACCTTCAGCCGCCGCCATCAACCTTCATCCCCAGGTGTAGAAAGCCTTCTGGAACCTGCAGGGCTTTCCGACAAGGCAAGAATCAAAGGGAAAGAAAAAGCAGTAGACACGACGCCATCAGGGAGCACGCATAACAGAGCTCCATCCAAGTCCTTGACGGTGAGAGAATTGATTGATTGGGTTCAACAAACGCAAGAGAGCAGAAGAAGGTTCCGCCGGCAAGAAGATCTTCCCCTTCCTTACGAGAATGAGCTTATTGGTCATCTGAAAAAAAGAGACCACGTATGTTCCCGCGTTGCAAACCTGTAGGATCGCGCATCACTTACGCAGACATAGGTCTTTATATTGGACGACAGCGAAAGCATGGACCCTTACTGGCCCGATCTCACCCAGCTTTACGGTAGCCTAATCTATATGATTAAAAAGAAAGAACTCGATCCAAATGGAAGCGAGCTGCGATTCATAATATCCGACGAACGGAAAGAAGAGCGGCACACTACCAAGCTCAAGAATATGGTCAGAGAAAGAGGTAAAAGCCTCACTGGGGAGTCTGACTTTGCTCACCGACTTGACGAAATTCTGGAAGCATATCAAAAAAAGCTTGCAGTCAACTCGGATACCAGGCCCATAAGTCTATATGTCTTTACTGATGGTAGGTGGCAACCTGGAGACCGTCAGCTGGACGCTGTTGCGCGTTCTATCAAGAGACTGGTGGACTACCTCGAGAAACGAGGTAAAAGGGAGGGAATGGTAGGCATTCAGTTCATCAGGTTCGGTAATGATGAAGTTGGCATAGAGAGACTCCGGTGGCTGGATGAAGACCTGAAGGAAGCCCGGGGATTGGCGAGGGACATATGTGACACGACAAATGCTGACGGAAATGTGTGGAAGATGCTGCTTGGGAGCATCAATGGCTATTGGGACGCCGACTGAGAGTATCAGGGGCTGCGCCTTGATGCTATCCCGATAATCCGTTAACTGTGGTGATGCAGGAAGTTAATATGGCAAATTGACTGAAGGATATCTGAACCGCCGCAATTTCATGCGCCAGCATCTCGCCACTGCGTACACACTACAGCCTTCAGAATCCGCCTTTTATCATCCGTCATCCGTCTGGTTAGGTGGAACAGACATCGATGTGCAAAGGCCGAAAGCCCGATGGGGCATCTTCTGCTGGGGAACCATTTCGGAATTACGCAAGGCTTTCATGCCGAGTAGTAAGTGATCGTCTACCTATCGAGGACGACGCCAGAACATCGCAAATGCGAGCCCTGGGCGATCCGGTCGCCATCGGTCGATGACATGGAGGGATGAACAAGTACTGGGCACCTTTGCAGATTGAGAATCCCATTCGTTGGGCGTTATCTTGTCTTCTGTCGTTTCCACACATGGATAAATCAATCTCAGACGCCGCCGAATCGAAAGAAAAGTCCCCTGTTGGGGAACGGCATCCATTGCGCCGACCCACAGGGGCGCAGAAAATTTGCGAATACGCCTCCCCCGTTGCTCCACCCTTTGTGAAAGCAGACTTCTTCTTAAGCATTGCTAAGCGTATGATGATTGCAGTCGAGGTCTCCTAGGGATGAACCTGTCGGACTGTTTTGTGGTTTGAGAAATGTCGACTTGGATGATCGGATTGATCCTTTTCCCCGCCAACAATGCAGACTTGCACAGTTTGGCAGCGCGGTGATGAGAAATGTTGGACGACACCCTCCGGAAGAAGTGGTCGTCAGTCTTTGATCGAGAGTTGAGACTTCCACGCTTGGGTCGAGGAAGAGCATTCGAAGCTCGATTCTAGGGGACTTGCAATGAGCCGAGATCTCAACATGGCCAAATAGGAATAAAATCTCTCATTCTAGGACAGGGGGGAGTACAGATGAGAAACTGCTCCCTTGTCCGATCGATGCCATTCGTCCATACACTGAAAGACAGAAAGAAAAGCGCAGTTCTCATCAATTAAAAAAAAAAAAAAAAAAAAAAATTAGATGATGATGACGACGACGATAGTGTTGATTATAATGATGACAAGGATGACGATCAAAAGTTCACAGCTTGCTATACTTCCATAACCGCTTGAATTCGTCGACCACGGCGCGACTCTCAACCAGCACGCCAAGTTCCTGGCTCGTCTTCCAGCTCGCGGCGTCCATGTTGCCACTGCCCAGCAGGATCCTCTCGTCGTCGACGATGGTCACTTTGGCGTGCAGCTTGACGGGGATTGATTCCTGGTCCTCCCCTTCGTCCTGTTCGATTTCGTTTTCTTCTTCGTCATGTTCGTTTTCTCGCAGCACTCTTCGCTGTTGCAGCCGCGCACTGGGCCCGTCATCGGCATCGAAGTAGAATGTTTCCAGCAGCGCGCTCGTCCCCGCTAGCAGGGCCCTGCGTCGGAGTTTCCGGATACAGCGCGGCGTCGTTGTGCCGGCGGTGACGAGCTGCTCCGCGGTCATCAGGGAGCAGTTCGTCCATATGCAGACGCGGACACCGCGGCCGAGAGCCTCGGCCAGGCACTCTAGGACGGCTGGCTCGGTCAGGTTCGGCGTGAGGATGACGATGCAGGACCGCGCCGTGGAGAGCAGATGGTGCGTCGCCTTCAACAGCGGCGTGGGAGGGAATGTGAGCGGGGCGCTGGGCATGCATGGAAAACGGCCGAGGAGGACGCGCGGTTGGAGGTGGTTCGGAAGAGCTGTCGGAGTGTGTGGTGAAAGCAGGAGAGTTGTTGGGATCGACGAGATCGGATCATCTGTAGCGGTGGGAGGGAGGTGAGGGCCGGGACACTCAGGCAGCAACGGAGGCGTCCCTTTCTCCCAGAAGTTGGCATGGAATCGGCGCAAATGGTCGACGACGGGACCGGTCAAGGAGATGGCCACCTCGAACCAGCACTCCCATGAGACATTGCACGAGGGAAATATGGCCAGCGCACCATCGACGATGACGTACTTTGAATGGACGATGCCCCAGGGCCAGAAGAACTTGCGTACGACCCGGAGCTCGAGCCCCTTAACCTCGTCGGGCTGGGGCAGGCCGAGGAGCTTCCCCCAGCTTGCAGGCTGGTAGATCTGGCCATCTTGAGGTGTGGGCAAGAGCATGTTCCTCGCCAGCGAGCACGACGAGAAACATATCTGCACCGAGACTTTCCTGGGAGATGACGACGACGACGAAGATGATGATGATGCCGCAAGCACGCGCCGCGACAGGTACTTGAGCGCCTCGCAGATCTGCGTGCGCGTCGTCGAGGCCGCGGCCCAGAAGCACGTCGCAAGCACGACCTCGTCCTGCGCGGCGCGGATCGCGGGGATAATTGCGGACTCGTAGATGCTGGCGCCCGTCCCCGTGGTTAATGGCCGATGAAGATGATGAGGGGGAGAAGGGGCAGAGCTGCTGAGTGTGCGTCGTCCTTGGGAAATTTCGTCGATGTAGGCCGCGCTAAAGCCCGCAGAAGCTGTCATATACTGCCACTGCTGCTGAGCTTGCTGCACCAAGGGCTCCTCGCCCTCCATGGATGGAGAGACGGGCGTCCACAGGGACCAGAGTCTCGCAAGGGGGACACGTACTATCCTGCAAACTCGTCTCCCTGAGAGCTCCCCTTCTCCCTCGCCCCGAGGGATCGCAGATAGCTAGCTAGAGAGAGAGGGATTCGGCAACGACGGTATGTACCTGACGGGAGCCGAAGCGAGCAAGCTTAGCTTCTACGAATCAGAAGCAGCTTGAAGAAGTGGAGGGTTCGCGACGCGTTCGCGGCGCGAACGGTTAACTATGGCTATGTAAGCATGGTTGAGACCTACGCTTGGATATAGGTCTGGTGAAAAGAACACAAGTAAGAACTCTACTGAATGTGGATTGGACCGAGTACAGACCGTGAGGTTTTGTTGTCTCTGGCCTGTTGACGAAATCTCCATAATTGACGAGTTAGATAGCGAATGGTTCCACATGCCTTAGACCTAGTACGGTCGGCATGTATCCCGCACATTAGTATTCTCTGCGGGTCCTATGATATTGGGGATGGAAACGTCGACGATCGGAGAGGGGACTGCAAGTTTGCAGATATGTACGGAGGATGTGGCCACGCAGTGCAGAGTCAATCACTAGCCATTATCTTCTCACTTGTAAACCTCGACAACCTTCACCCTCACGCCCTTGGAATCCAGTTTCGGGCTCGGCAAGAAGAAATCATGCTTCAACTCCACATCCGACTTGTCGGTCTCGAACAGTTCGAACCGGAATCGTCGAAAGAGCGTCGCCATGAGCAGAAACAGTTCCGCGTACGCCAAACTGAGCAGAGAGTCCTTGGGTTAGCTCAATAGGAATCTAGCTCGCTCGCAGGTATGACCGAGCTGAGGGTCAGGACACGTACTTTATTCCAAGGCAGCTCCTACTCCCTTTTCCAAACCCGACAAAATAGCGATCAAGCGGAGACCCATTTGGCGCTTTGGGGTTCCCCAGCCATCGTTCTGGAATGTACGAATGCGACTCGGGGAAGATGTTCTCGTCGTGGTGGACGTCCACAATTGACATGCCCACGACCGTACGCGGAGGTATGGTCCACTGCTTGTACTGAAGCGGCTGATTGAGCACACGAGGGTTGCGAGCGGAAATGCCATAAGATAGGCGGACAGCTTCGGTGATGCACGCTCGAAGGAAAGGCAGTTTTTCGACTTCTAGCAGGTCGGGTATGGTGGAGGCATCAGGCATCACTTGAAGAATCTCGTCGTGCAGTCGCTTGTAGATCTTGGGATTGTTCACAATGTGGAATGACGCCACGCTCAATGCCCAGGCAGTTGTCTCAAGGCCTCCTCCGATGACTGTTTGAGCTTCGTCCGCCATGCGGCGGTTTCCCTTATCCTCAGGCGGGAGAGAACTCTGGAGCAGGTCGTGGAAAATGGTCCGATGGGACGATTTCCCCTCGCCCAAGTCATCCCCTTGAGTCAGTCGTTTGATCATATTCCGCAAATCCTGTGTCGGAGCATTTAGTGGGCACAAAATTCACAGAGTTGAGACACCCCAACCTACAACCTGAAGCTGCAGTAAACTCCCCAGAGCCGGCTGCATTTTCCGAACAAGGCCATCCGGAAGAGAATTCAAGAGCTTGTGTTGTTTTCAGCATTCACGAATCAAACCGGTGTGGTCGAGCCAAAACTCACTGGATGGAACCAGGGGAACTGAACCGCCACATGGCCAAATTCACCGACTGCCATGAATGCAGCATGGAAGGATTCTGAAAAATCTGGAGAATCGAGGTGATTGTAGCAGATTCCAAAGGAGTATTCCGTGATTATATCGCCGGCAAACGCTGGAAATGCCTCGCTCAGGACCACCGGAGCGCCCTTGGCCTTATACTCACAGAGCTTCATGCTCAACAGTTCAACCTTCTGGCGAATGACCGGTTGGAAGTCCACGATTGACCGTTTAGAGAAGCTATATTGGCGTCAGAAATTCCTTGGATCCGTGCCCAAAGTGCCGTCGTCCCCAATTCGAGGCACGCATTTTGGAAAAGACTCACAAGGGGTTAAGTGCCGCGCGACGACGACGATGTAGAGCAAAGTCCGCAGTGGTAATAATTGAGCCATGGTTTCCGAACCTCCCAGCAGCCCATTCATGCTTGTCAACCCGCGGCACTTTGACATATAGCTCGTCGAAAAAGTCACTATCCTTGATATGGATCTCATCTGGCGCGACTCGCACAATAGGACCTTGATAGAGATCAGTCAGCCAAGCCCCTACTCATGAAAACTGGTCCTAGAAGCTGACCATACCATACTGCTGGTGCATCTCATCTATCCTCCGCGAGTACTGGCCTTTCAGGACGACCTCGTAGTAGAGCTCGTACCATCGTGATAAGGCAGCCGCTTTCGGTCCGGGGAACTTTGCGAGCGGCGAGAGGTACAGCCGGTTCACAACAAGCGACACCAGATACAGGAGCCATGTGGTCAGTAGGA